AATTCTCCTCTCCAGTACCCTGGCATAGACTTTCCCGGGGAGGCTGAGGAGTGTGATCCCCTTATAGTTGGAACACACCCTCCGGTCCCCCTTCTTAAAAAGAGGGACCACCACCCCAGTCTGCCAGTCCAGAGGCACTGTCCCCAACCGCCATGCGATGTTGCAGAGGCGTGTCAACCAAGACAGCCCAACAACATCCAGAGACTTAAGGTACTCCCCAGTAACATGCAATCCTTTTCATACCCTGGGATTAGCTCATGACTTCACATCACCATTTGAATCTCCTCCTTCTATTTAGGGGCTGTCAGTCAGTCTATTGAGAGATGCTCTGCAGTGCAATTGAAGCAGATGCTGTTTAGAGCACAAATCTCATTAGGCAATAAATCATACAGTCCCCTCCAAAAAGTATTGGTAGAGCAAGGTCAATTCATTTGTGTTTGTACACTGAAGACATTAGAGTTTAAGATCAAAATATGAATGTGAGACGAAAAGTTGAGTTTCAGCTTTTTTTTTTAATTTTTTTTATGGTTATTTATATCTAGATATATTAAACAGAGCATTGTACCTTTTGTATCAGATCACTCAAATTTAAGTGAGCAAAAGTATTGGAAGAGAGAGTTTAAAGTAAATCAAATTTAATATTTAGTTGCCTATTCTTTGTTTGCAGTAACTGCATCAAGCCTGTGGGAGTTCTCTTTTCAGTCTCCTCTTTAGCAGGAAAAATGCATGTTCAATTGGGGTAGGGTCTGGTGATTGACTTGGCCAGTCTCAGACTTTTCACTTTTTCCCTCTGAAGTCAGAGTTGAGTTTGTACTGTGCTTAGGATTCTTGTCCTGCTGCATGATGAAGCTCCTTCAGTAAAGTTTGATGCATTTCTCTGTAATTTGGCAGACAAAATGTTTCTGTACACCTCTGAATGCATTCTTTTTTTCTAGCATGACAAGTTATGTCATCAGTTAAGATTAGTGATGAAGCTACAATGAAGAAGGGCCAGCTTAATGCCAGTATAGTGGAATCTCCATATAAAAGAGGTTAGAGGCTGCACTTAGGTCTACGAACAGTTTCCTGAGTCAGCAGCTGTTGGTTGTTGGATACTCTCAGTAATGCAGATTCTGGACTGCGATGAACTCTGAAGCCAGATTGACATTTTTCTAAAATGCAGTTTTCAGCCAGGCCAGATAGCAAAGATTTTTTTTTTCAAGGATTTTTTGAGAGGAAAAAAAAGAGGTTGACAATTACTCTATAATTTTTGATCACTAAAGGATTTAGATTGAGATTGTTTCTCAATCAGGCAAGTGAAAAATATAAGTGATAGTCTCTATCATTTTTTTTTCTCTGTTGAAAACAACTTTGGTCTCAATTTGTAAGGACAGGGAGCATTTTATCAGTACTTGAAGAGACCAGTAAATGAGATTAATGGATTGGAATATATGGTTTTGGTGTTTATGGAGTGGTTACTCTCTCTGTGTTGGACAAAGTGTGGTGCTGAGCATCGCAACATAGAGCACACAGCAGCTGTGAGGCAGTGGTGGAGATGAAACACATTGCTTGAGGTAACAACAACTCTGCTCTGTACTGTACATGCCATAAAACTTCATCCAGTCAGAGCAATTTATCAAAGCACCGGTTAAACATAAATTTGCAGAGCAGTGACCATTTCAGCTTTGCCTGCAGTCTCTCATCCACACATCGCCATAATGTTCAGTAGCAGTTCATGTGCATGGAACTATTATTGAATAATTGATACATGTTCATGCGGCATGCAGTGTATATATATCTCTGGTTAATTATGGTGAGCTCACTAGGCTAATAGCTAACTGTTTAGAGGTGAGGACCACAGCTCCCATTGAGTCCAGCACAAATACCAGTGAAGTCGTCAGAAGGAAGCTGGCTGTTTGTTTGTCAGGATAATATTGTATAGCTTATTTTTCTGCAGTGGTTTCTACAGAAATACTAATACACTCAAAGAATCTGTATTGCTATCCAAAGTGATGAGCTGTATTCACTGCTGTACTGTTCAGTCTGAATTCTAATCACACACCCTATAACCTACTCACCTCTTACAGAGTAGCAAAGAGAAAGCTAGAAATACATTTTAATACAGTACAGCCAGAACAACAGTAAATGGCAGATATCATACTTACAAACGTTGAGGTTTTGTTGATACTTGTCAGTGTGTCCAGCCAGCTTTATGGTCATTTGTGACACTGGAGCTACTTTCTAATTGTAGCTGTGGACAGATGAAAATTTGTTTGAGTCTGTATCTTTGCCTATGCTATCTGAACTGGTTCACCACATGAAAGCATCCTACTGCTCTTTGGATTGCCTGCCAACCAGACAGTTTAAGGATGTTTTTGATTCTGTTGGGCCTAGCTTTCTGGCTTTAATTAATTTACTGTATGTCTAAGGACAGGCTCATTTTTAGATGCTTTCAAAAAAGCGATTGTCCAGCTGTGACGGAGTGGCCCTGTCATGAATAACTGACGAAGACCGGAATAGCTCTATCACGAATGGCTGACAAAGCATATAGGCTACATAGACATATATGTGCACATACAAACAAATCTACAATGTAGTTAAGCTGTATTACTACTTAAGTTGTATTATTACTTACCGGGTTTTCGCGTCGCTTGGGTGTTTGTTGTCTGTTGTCGAGTGTGAGTTGTGGGTTCAAACATTGCTGTCATTATTGAGGTCGTTAAATACGATTATGTGTGTGCCACGTGAGTAAACGTCACTGTGACTTAATTGGTATTGGGCGGAAACTTCGGTATTAAAGGCAACGCAGGTTCTAGCTTCGAGTTGTTTCTGAGCTGCATAGAAGGCAATATCAGTTCTGCTGATAACTGCAGTGCTACTTGTGTGTGTTTTTTGAACAATGACTTTTAGATATTTACAAAGAGTTTCATTTCTCTCTTTTTCTATGGTGCACTTTGGGAGATGAGCACAATACATTAGTGCTTTGCATTTGCAACTACACCATCCTTTTATTTTTTCCTTCAAGAATAAACCCCGTCATACCAGCCTCTTCTTAAAAAGCCAAATCCTGACCCTTCAGTGTTCTCTAATTTTAGACCAGTGTCTAAATTACCTTTTGTATGTTATTTCTTTAAAAAGTCACTGTGCCACTAAATAGTTGTACATGTGTATTTTATATATAAAATATTTTTAATAGGCCTACATCTCTTATTTTGGACAAGTAAGTTTGGCTATCAGGCAAGTGAAGTATCTCAGCCACTTGCCCAGAATCTTGGTGCTTGTTATTGCTTGTTTTATTGCCATGTGATCAGACAGGTCACAAGATTGGATATAAGCAGTCCTTTTGTATGCTTGTTAGCTGTACAAAGTTGGGCTTGTTTACCTGTAACATCGTTTTCTGATGAAAACTGCTGGTCAAAATGCAGTGGTGTCCCAAAACAAGCTCAGGGCATTTAGAAAAAGCTTGGTTTACTCCTTAGGATTTTTACTTTTTATTTTAACAGGTGCTGACTGCATCAAGTAACGTTATGTGTGAACACAGTCATTCTTTTCTTAACACCCTGACAAAGATCGTTTTTCCCTGCAATGTGGTGAGAACCAGCCTCTGTCGCGTGTAGTATGAGTTTCCTATCTGCCTATGTGTGCAAATTAGTTAATCCACATACACATGTTTTCATTAAATCCACCCCACCCCACCCCCAAAACCAAGTCAGCGCCTAAGCCATCTGAAAACCTCTGGAAAACCCTGCCTGAATGTAACTTCTTTTGAATAACTCTAATTCTCTCATCAAGAAAGCAAATGTTGACCAGCTCATTGTGTTGTTGTCATCCCCTTTTCTCTTCAGCACCTTCATCATTGAAAAGCAGCCTCCCCAGGTTTTAAAGACCCAGACCAAGTTTGCAGCCACAGTGCGCCTTCTAGTGGGCGGAAAACTCAACGTCCACATGAACCCACCACAAGTCAAGGCTGTCATTGTTAGTGAGCAGCAGGCCAAGGCTCTGCTGAAGAATGAGAGCACACATAGGTGAGGGCCACATGTGGACTTGTTTTTGAATCCCAATATGATTTCACATGCATTAGTAAAACATTGTGACTCGACTGATACAACACTAAAAGAGTGTGTAATTACAGCAGGTACTGCTGGATATTAAAAGGAATTTAATTGTGTAATCCTCCTTTGTTGAAAAGAGATGTTACTACAGTGTGTTATATAGTTTCTATTGGCTTTGTAGTGAAAGCAGTGGAGAAATCTTAAACAACAACTGTGTGATGGAGTATCATCAGGCCACCAGCACTCTCACTGCACACTTCAGAAACATGGTAAGCTCTTGGTTGTCTTTTTAAGTGTACAAGTGATACAATACCCGCTTATACAACATTTTATTAAAGGTAATTGTAAAATAGTTTTGCAACTAACATGGCTGATGATGATTTTTTTGGTAAAACCCCATTTAGTTTTGGAGGCCACTCATAATCGCGGTTTAAACGATATGACATTAACTTGTCATAAGATCACTTATATGTTTTTGTCTCCTGGGTTTTTACCAAATTGTTGGCACTTTTTTCCAGCAACGAGTTCTCTGTTTATGGCACATTGCATTTTGGAACAAGGTTCACTATTACTACATGCATATGGTTTTAAAACAAAATTTTAAAGCAATATGAATGCATACTCACAATACAAGAGATTTTATAAATAGTGTAGAGATAGCAATTATAATATTAGAATGAAGAACACAATATTTACTGTAAATGTAACGAATTGATCATAACAGCTATTTTTCTTGTATCCAAAGCCTGATATGTTCTTGTCTCTGCTGCGTGTGTCTTTACAGTCACTGAAGCGGATCAAGCGTTCCGACCGTCGAGGTGCAGAGTCAGTGACTGAGGAGAAGTTTACAGTTCTGTTTGAATCACAGTTCAGTGTCGGGGGCAACGAACTGGTCTTCCATGTCAAAGTAATGCGACGTTTGATCTTTTGTTCATGAGAATAGCAGCTAAACTGTTCTGGGTGTCTTGCTTGATTATTGAATTGTCAGCTTTATCCTTCGGCCATCTGCTACTGATTTCATCTTCACTGTCTTGGTCTTTGGAAGGCTTTAAATAGGAACTAGACTTCAACAAGAGTTTTGTGGCTTTATCCAAGCCTGCTATTTTCTAGCCTGTTTTTGAAAGAGTACAGAACACTCTTCCTCTTTAATCTGTTAATGTCAAGCTTGTGTCTGTAACCTGCAGACCTTATCGCTGCCTGTGGTAGTGATCGTCCATGGCAGTCAGGACAACAACGCCACAGCAACAGTCCTGTGGGACAATGCCTTTGCTGAGCCAGTAAGTTAGCTGCTTCTAGACTGTGTCATCAATGCCTTTCTTATACTTTACCATGTCCAATTGTAAACATATTAAGTAATATTATACTACAACTTGACACCAACTTGTCAGGTGTTAGTGTGTGCTGTTAAACGGTAAGTCTGGTCATATTCATACTGTTAACAAATCCCATGTGCAGATGCCAAACAACAATAAATTTCTCCTAATACAACCAATTCTACAGTGTCCTGCTGTCACAAATACTAGAGCACCAGGTTCAGATTAATTGAAAGCTGAAAATAGTCCCCAGTGAATTCACCATTTCCTTCTGTTTGACTAACATTATTTAAAACCTCCAGTGGTTTTTGTTGTTTAAGAAATAATTTGTTTAAACATACTTGTGAGCTGTTCAGTAGGAAGCAGTGGGCTTGTCATCACAAACAGGGCAAGCAAGTCAGAGTATTGGGGCTGCTACAATTTTCCCAGTTTCTCACACCCTATTGTCTTATGTTTTTAAACTGCTTAAATTAACTACTTTGGTGGCGTAATGTATTGTAGCAATTCATTACCAAGTTAAACAAGATAGAAACAGTGGCGTTAAAATTAGATTTGATGTTGAGGTAACTGCCAGTGGTGGTGCATTTAGAGCCATTCTGACAACAGTTTGTAGACGTGTCTGACGTTCTTTTCACCAGGTGGGAGATGTAGTCTGTGTCAGAATTTCCTGATAATTGAATTGCAGAATTACAAGTTGGTGGCCGCTCATAATCATGGTCTAAATTATATGACATGAACTTGCTGTAAGATGTCTTAAATGGCTTTGTATTGCAAGCTCTTACAAATGGCACTTTTCCAGCACTGAGTCCCCAGTTGAGAGAGAGTGATAATTGAAAGCTGAACTAATTTAAGTGTGAGTAACAGAAACATCAGTGTGGTGCCATGTCTGCTTTGTGACTTCTGTTTTCATGTACAGTGGGTACGGAAAGTATTCAGACCCCCTTAAATTTTTCACTCTTTGTTATATTGCAGCCATATGCTAAAATCATTTAAGTTCTTTTTTTTTCCTCAATGTACACACAGCACCCCATATTGACAGAAAAACACAGAATTTTTGACATTTTTGCAGATTTATTAAAAAGGAAAAACTGAAATATCACATGGTCATAAGTATTCAGACCCTTTG